CCCCCCCCCCCCCCCCCCCCCCCTCAGTTTCTTAAAGGGCTCTTGAATGTCTTATTTTTAACCGTCTCCTCACTTAAATAAACCACCGAGGTTAAAATAGCAAACGGTGCCTTTTGACATTCAGCGAGCCTCTCTGATGTAAGATTAGCCTCTCGGTACGATCAGCCTTCAGTTCAACACTTCTCGCAGAGCTAAGCCTCCGTATAAATGTCCCTGCCCAGATCCACTTTCACACATTCCTGGCAACTCAGGCGCACGGAGTGCAGATAAAGAGTATCGGTCCCAAACATTTCCAGTGTTGTGGTTTTGGCAACATTCGATTTCTCAGATAAGAGAGAGGGTGTTTACTCCTGCTGGTTCAGCAAACTATGCACCCATGTAGCCTTTGTTTAAGGTCAGGTTTCACAGCGGGACATAACGAAATGTGTTCACAGATCTGCAGTACACAAAAATGTGTCTCTGTACTCCATATCATTTGTTTTTTTTTAAACAGTATTTTGTACTCTTATAGCTGTTCTCTATGAAATCTTTCATTCATAGATTAAAACTACAGACGAGGGAACTTCCTCCTTCCTACTTCATCAAAAGGGGTTTCCCTGCATTTGGATTAATTCAAATTTTGTAGATTTATTGACATAAATCCTCACAGGATAATAAAGTACTCCTGTCTGCTTCCTCTGTCTGTCCATGGTTTTCTACTTGAGTTCATGATTGTAAAGTCAGGGCGTGAATCCTGAGAACTCTGCATCTCTTTTTGTTTCCATTTCTCCTCTGCTTCTTTTTAATCCTTTTCCAAGCACAACAATCCTTTTCATTTCTCACTGTCGGAAAGGAAAGAGCTGGAGAAGTCCCAAAAAAAAAAAAAAAAGGCTGTCAGGCTCCATCTGTGTACGGGCCGGGTTTGGAGTCTTGCTCCAAACGAAAGCACAGCTGACATCCTGTCTAGGACGGACTTGCACCGAGCAATTATCTTGCTCCTCTTGTCAAATATTAAGACTCAGGCATGCGGCCTCTCACTTCCATCCCCTGTGGAGATAGCCAGGTTGAGCTCGGCTAGATTCGCCCCTCCCCCCCCTCCGTGGCTGCTCGGTGTAGCTGTTTCACATTTCCAGCTGTCTGTGCAGCCTTGTGGTTTCTGGCTGCTTGTCTCTCAGATGACCGGCTACATGGTTACAGATGCTCATAACCCCACATGAGTTTAAAAAGTTGCGCTGCAGGGCGGGATTGATATTGACTGACGAAGGAGTACGCTCGCCAGTGTATCAGTTCACTGACCTTCATCCGTCTCCATTATCCTCTGTCATGCTTTTACTTTCACCGTGATCCTTCAGGCTCACGCTGTATAATTGCAAGTGATTAGACTCTTTCTCAGTTACACAAATTGTGGACATCATTACAGCTCCACAGGGAATCCGATTTTGATAACTAGTACCCCAAAAAAAACCCTCCTGGAGATGCAGACCTCCATATTAGTGCGAGTCCTATTGCTCTGTAGTCCGGCCTTTGATGAGCCTGTGCAGAGATGGGCGAGTGGTATCAGGCTGCTCTGAGCCCCAGAGGCTGGAGGTCAAACTGGAGACCGTTATCCAGACCTTGAGCTCCACAAAGACTCTGGCTGCTATCACAAACGCCAGGCCACCGGAGGACAGATGCAGGAACCTCACATCGATCACACAGCGTTTCATCTTCTCACATGACTTCTCAAGAGGGGGGTTTAGAAAGAAAGGAGGGGGGGTGGGGGAGAGGGGGGGCAATCACGCTCACTCAGATGCTCACGGGTGCACGTCCTCTGTCCTCCAATCCATCTCCGTCTTTTTTTTTTTCTTCTCATGCACACACAATGACATTTAGCACTTAACCTCTTTCTGCCCCTCTCGTTTCCTCCTTTTTGCTCCGCGGAGACAGCTTTCAACAGATTCTTTAGTCTCAGGGGAGGCATGTCTCTGCTCCAGCACTGCACCGTGTTGATATAAATGAATCCTAAAAACCGTTCAAGTATGCTCGGCCAGTCTTTACAGAACATAAAGTGAGGTCTTTTTCCTCACTCCATCTGCTGTCCTTCCTCTCTGTTTTGAACCTTTTCATCACGTGTTCACTCTGCAGATCCTCCCCCCACCTCGGCCGCCCCCAGCACCACTGCGGCCCTCCTCCTACACGACACCGCTGGAACGGGCACCGCCGTGGACGAGCGGAGAGCCCTGTTCACCTCCCCGACCCTGGCCTCCTTGCACGACAGCAGCCTGGGCACCATAGTCGGCGGCGTTGTCGGCGGAGTTTTATTCCTGATTCTCTTGCTGATCCTCGGCGGGGTCTGCTTCATGCGACAGCGCAGGACCTTCAGGGGGGACTACTACACCAAACAGTACCTGGGACCCTCTGACATGCAGAAGGAGTCCCAGCTGGACGTGCTGCAGCCGCATGAGCTGCAGGAGGTCTACGGGGACAAGACGAGCAAAGGCAGCCAGGAGCTGAAACCCAAACTGGGCGGAGACATCATTTACCCCGACTACACCCCCGACCACAAGGATAGGGATGACTGGGCCGACAAGGGGGATGCCCACAGGGGCCTCAAGGAGGGAAACTACTACCCAGATCAATACAACACCCAAAACATGCACCCCTGCGGGCCTCCCGTGCACAGCCCCACAGTGAACAACGGCTCCCCCTACCTCCCGGAGGACTGCTATGACAATGGTACAGACGGCGACTATGTGTCCCACGTGGACGGATCTGTGATCTCACGCAGGGAGTGGTATGTTTGAGGAGCCGAGGGGGGAAAAAAACAGACAAGACGAACCGACCGACTGACTGAGAATGATTTAAAAAGTGACAGATATAAATGAAGGCGTCATTTCAGTTAAACTCAGTTTCACAATGAGCTCTTTGAACAATACGGCTCTGCCTTGATTGTAACCACTTAACCTTAAGGACATGTTTGTGGATTGTATTACACTTTTGTAGCATTTCAAGGAGCTACAAGTGATCTGCCACGCCCCGGTGATGTTATCTGCGTAGGCTTAAGAGGCTTTGGCATACAGTGAAGTTTCCACTGATGTGAATGAGGTTTTGTATTCTGCTTTGTTTGTGTTTGCACCTGTCTTTAACACAGGTCAAAGGTCAGGTGTTCAGCTTCTTGTCGGTGAAGTATTTATATCCCTGAGCTCTACTCCCATAAAACCTCATGACTCCTGTGGCATTTTCATAATGGTCTTTTGAGCACTTCCAGAGTTTTTCATACTGTTGAAATGTTTATCATGGCTGCAACCGGTATTTAAAGCAAATTATATTGCATGAGTTTTCTAAAAGCAAAATGTATCTTTTAGTTAAAGGGAAGGTTTGTCATTCACATGATTTAAAAAGGGAGAATCACACAGGCATTGTTCTGAGGGGAAAGCAAACTGACTGACGCGAGTACATTACCAAGAGAAATCCCTGTGAACCTTTGGTGAAGTTCTTCTGTGGCTTCTTCAATCTCACGGTATTTTCTGTAAAGTATTCATGTTACCTGACTGAGAGAGAGAGAGAGGCCACTCCCTGTGGAAGTACTTTTACTTTCAGCCTCATTTCAACTGATCTGCTTCACTGATATCTCTGTTCTGGAAGTTGTAATCCTTAAGATTTCAGTCCTGCAGCAAACCGTCTTTGAGCAGCTACTTTACAAGAGGGGCAACTAGTGAATCTTGTAAAAAAAAAATCAATATAGTCCGCTAACAACAACAACGGAGAATTACTGTTATCTTCTTCCATAATAAGAGCCTCCCCGTGCTGGATTACGTGCATGCATTGCTTCCTCTGAATGCCTCTTGTTTACTGTGGGAATGGCGGACCCTGCCACTAATAATAAAAACTACAGCGAGATAATTACTGCAGAAAAAATGCTGATCATGAATGGTATTAAAAAAGGGGTTGGATGTCATGAAAGTCTTAAGGATTATAACTTTAACCAACTACGCTATTATCATTAGCCTATTGAAATGTGTTAACTCTGTCACTTTCTTGCAGTAAAAAAGCACAACTCCATTATTACAGTTGAAGTGAACATCAAAGGAAGCCAACCAGGCTTTAGCCCACTCCACTTAGCCTTGATAACAGGCTGCATCGCTGTCGTTCCCCTTTTCCCTCCTCTGCATCGTCTGATTTCTGTCTGCACACAAACACCAATTGGTCATTATAGTTTTTATTTTAAACGTGGGATCAAAGCTGTGAGTTATAAATACCAGATGTGACCATCACAGCTGTCATCATCTGACGTTATGTGGCTCCATGAACCACCAACAGTTTCACTGCTCCCGCTCGACACTCCAGGGCCGTGATTCATGATGGTAAATAAGCAAAATACTTGTTGGGGGGGGGGGGGGAGAAATAAGAAAGGGGGGGGGGGGGGGGGGGGGGGGGAAAAAAAAAAAGATCATGTGTTTTTTTTAATGAGGTGGT